ACGGAGGTCTGCTTATCTTGAAGCTCTTACACAAGAGATTAAGAAGAAGCTTACACGGGTTTGCTTTTTTTTTTCTATCTTGTTATACGTTTTTTCGCCAGAGATCGATTTTCCAATTGTTTGATCTGTTTTTMAATTTGCTACTGGATCTTCGCATAAGAACATGCATAAGAGAATCTCAGATATTTTTTTATTGATTGCGATTAAGTAACGGGTTTCTGAAATTGTGTTAGTGTTTCAAATGTGAATCTGCGGTTTGAGATTTCAGATATAGTTAATGCAGTCCCATAAATGATATTCTCAATGTTCATGTTTTTTTTTGGATTTCTGGAATCGGTCATCTCAATTTTGAGGGTATTAAATTGATTTTAAAGCTATTGATATTTTGTTTAGGCTGTTGTATCTCCAGCACAAACACGCAACTTGTTGCAGGATTTATTTGCTGATATAGCTCTAGAAGTCGACGAACGAGCCAAAGGTAACAACACTCTTTAAATGTTGTGGCTGCTTCTAGAGACAATTAGGTGAATTTTGATCAGTAATTTACTACTACTGTCATTAACTTTTTTTGAGCTGGAAATTGGAAGCAGATGTGATATTAGACAAGGAAGAGGATGTGATTTCTTCTGACGAAGCAGATGCTGATGGTCCGTTATGTTTTTTCGATGTTCTTGCTGATTATTATGTCAAAGTGTCTGAGAGAGGGAAAGATATACTTGATTTGATGGTGCAGCTGTGGAGTCAGTCGTTTGCATCACATATATTCTCTCTTCTGTTTCATAAATGGGTATTGTGATCTTTACAATTTTTCGCTTTAGTTTTATTTCTCATTCTCAAAAGTTTTAGTCCTTTGTGTTGTCTATAATTCTTCTTAGTTGTTTGAGGTTGAGCTTGACAATCAAGAAATACTCCTGCGGTATTCTTCTGCCCTGGTGCAGGGAGCAACAAATGTATTCTGGTAATATTCATGAACTTTGATATAGCAAAATGAACATCTTTTCTCAATTCATTTCAGTGCGTTTGCTTAGCTACCAGGTTCAGTCATGTACTTTAGTTCTGTAGCAGTGGCATTGGCTTATTGTAACTAGTAATTTGCTTGGTTTCTGTTAAGAAGTGGTATGATATAGTCTTTCCAAGTTTCTTTCGACATTGGATTGGTTTGTCAAGTATTTTGATGGTAATATGTGATAATCTCTACTCATTTTAATAACAGGATAGACATCCAGACAAATACGAGGCGCTTCCAAACGCTCTTTCGGGTACCTTCTTTTCCTGAAATATAGAATATTCTCATCTTCCTTTGTTGGATATTTACCTATATAAAGAGCTTTAGTTTATTAATGAATTAAAATTGAGATATAAAATAAGACTATGTTCTCAACAAAATTCTAATACTGCTCTGCGAGCTAGAACATGTAAATCAGACTTGCTAGAGATCATGACATTGTCTTTCTATGACGTTACCTTGTTTGATACCTCAGCTAGATCTTCTAGGAAAACGTTACCCTGTTTGATGCCTCTGCTAGATTTTCTACGCAAAAGATATTACTTTGAACTTGTCAAATTGGGTTGTCACCATCACATGCTCAAGTCTTCATACCAATTTGCTACTGTAACTAATAGACTCTGTCTTCTTCTAGTATCTTCTTGAGGAAGTTGCTTTGGAGCCGATCCGACTGAAAAAAATTCCCATTCAGGTGAGTTGTTCCTCTCCATTTTCATGATGATTCAACTGATTTCAGTAGAGATTGACTCTCGGATGCCTATTTTCAGGCTCAGAGGGAACTGTATCTCTTGCTCTCGAGGTTCATTTTCTTTTACAATTCAGGTAGTACATTGTTCTCTGAAAAGTTATAATTGGAACCAAAGCGTTTCTTCTTGTTCCCTGACAATTTTTTTTTTCCAGTGGATAAACTCGATAGTTTCTTGAGGAACTTCCCGGAGTTTCCCAATGCTTTCTTGGTAGGAGGACCCGGAGATTTCCTTGTAATCGAACTCACTGATCAGGTATAGCATCAAAGGCTTTGTTGCTAATACTATACTCAATTTCTTCTCTCAAAATGAACCACAAACATCACCTATCTAATATGTTGATGTGGTGCAGCTGCAAAAACTGAAGGTGGAACCAGTGCTGCTACATTATCTTTCTCAGATGAAGATTCTTCAGGGTATAGTTCTTTCTTTGAGGAACATAACTACGCTCTTCTATTATGGACTCAAACTGTAAGCAATATTATATCATATATGCAGGTATGGAGCTGAGAATGACCACTAGCACAAGGTTAAAGGCGTGTTTGTACAGTTTTACCTCTCCCGGAGGTCCAATGTACCCTACAAGAGCTGTCCGTCATGCAGCTTGGGATGCTTTGGATTCCCTCTTTCCCGTGAGTATTTTCTTGCAAGAAAATCATTATTTAAGCTTGCTGGATCAGAGACATATCATCTAAGAGTTGAAACAATCTTATAGAAAAACTCAAAGTTGCTCATGTTCCATACATCCATGTCTTAACACTTGCACGTAGATCCCAACTACTGGATAGGCTTTGGATTGCAACATTCTGATACTCTGTCTTGCAGGTTGGGCGTTACCCGAGACATCTCATTAGTCTATTTTTCAGGCTGTTATATCCGTGGTACTGGCCATCCTCGTGTTGGAACTTTGTGGTTTCTTGCATAAAGGCGGTACTATATTCTATCGTAAGGCTTCTCTTTTCACGGCGAGAAAAGCCTAGGCAGAGCTGAAATATAGCTTGCAGCAGGAATCCTTATGTATATAATGTGGTTTTTGGTCACAGAAGCAAAAGCAGAGAATCTTTATCTCAGCTGTATCACTATCTATGGAGAATATAGAATCAGTTTTTGAGAAATCCCATGGAAGTAGTGTTTGAGGTGTTTTGTTGTGA